ATAAAACAGTAGAAAAAATCGTTAGCCTGTTGTGTATCGCGGTGACTGGTACACGGACAAAAACTGGACCCCCGCAAAGCATTTCAATTGGGTTCAAACATGGCGTGCTTTGGCGGACTAAATATTCACTATAAATGAAATGCTAACTACTCGGGTGAAGATACAAAGTTACTTAAGACAACATTTCACAGTGGACTGTTCGAAGATAATGAAACAACTCAGAACAGGAATGATGACGTCATTATCGGTAATAGTTCCAAATATTAAAATGGAGGACGTGTATTACAGTCTTGCAATCTTTCGAAAAGGAAGAGCGAAAAATAGCAAGGTATGGCCGTTGGCAACGGTGATAGGCGGTTTGTGTATGAGACAGATTTGGAAGAACTACTAGAGGAACAGACACGGCAGACACTATATCACGCATTGTAGTAACTGTCACAGAAATATAAGGAAGCCGCAACTCGGTGGCAAGCTAGTCAGTGAGGGTCAGCTTGAGATTGGCATGATCAGNCAGCTCACAAACTCAACATCAAAAGGATTCTACTTACATAATGAGTTCCCAGGGCCACGGGATGTGCAATATACACGACGGAATTGAACGAGATAAATTCGAGTCGTGTCAAAATTGCATGGGGCGCACCCGTCTCTTTGCTCGAGATTGACATATACATTCTTTTAACACCCATTTCGGAGGCTGAGCAATAAACCAAACTGGTAATGAACTTCTCCCCCCCCCCTAACCCCCCAGCCTTTCTTCACTTACCGCAGTTTACTTTCGGATCTATTTTTGGGAGCACACGACCCAGGTGAAAAAATGAAACTTGGCATCTCCAAATGCACGTAACAAACTACCGAGTAAATTGTGGAATTCGGGTGTGATTCGTGCTTAAACTACTTTTAGAATAAGCGTGACCAATTAAGGCAACATCACCGTAGTGATTTCCTCGATATTTTATCACATATCTATTGTTGGGTTGTCCAAAAAACCATGTGAAAGGTCTCAGTGAGAACACAAATTAGGTTTGACTAATGGAACTACTGACCGTGCAACACGGTGAAAAGCTTTCAGAAATATAATCAGAATTTAGACGAAAACTTGACTGTCCGTTTCTCATCTTCCACATGCATATGGATAATGGGCTATGTCATAGGACGAAAGAAACCAACATAGTAAACGTACATGGTTAAATATGTAGATGCACGTTGAAAACATAGATACCAATTCTGCAGAGGGGAAGCAAAAGCCAAACAGAGTAATCAAGATAAGTCAGACCGGTAAACGGGATTTGCAGCACTCATTGATATACTGAAGCATTCAAAGAGCTATACTCGCTTACAAATACGTATGCGTGTGTGAAAAAACACGCTCAAGTCAGAGCGACTTCACTCTGCTCCGTCTCAAGTACGGTAAAACACAACTGTGAAGCTGGCAATCATCATCATCACCCTACAGCGAAATACCGCGAAGCGAACTTCACTGGTCGCTGCCAAACTCGCAATGCATACACGATTCGTGGTAACATTTAGGGTGGACAGGGAGTGGACCTATTTTGTGGGGACGGGGGGAAGAAGGTGAACCACTATGGTCAACACACAGAGAGTGCACAATCAAACTCTGCATGCATACCGTTTCAAGCATTCTGACCTGATAAGAAACGGCAACAAGAACGCCACTGCTGCCGGTTTGCTGCCATATCCTTCAGTGTCTCCAACCAACCAGTCGTGGAGTCTTTCGGAGCCTAACCTGGAAGGCGAAAGACACCTACTCTACCTAATGCCCCTGTGCATTTCTTCATGCCCCGTCTCCACGTCATCTGTTGACCTCCGCGTGGTTCTCTCCAGCCCGGATTAGCTACAGCGAATAAAGCGCGGTGCGGCAGACGATGGCTGGGCATACGCAATACGTGCCCTAGCCACCGAAGCCTAGTAATCTGAATTCGGTATGCTAGCAGGTTTATGCCTGACAGACTCCCAAACACACGACGGCTAACCTCCATGTTACTAACCCGTTCGCTCCATCCGACACGGGATAAACTGCGTAAACACCGATAATCGAAAACTTCTAGTCGACGGATATCTTCTACTCGCAAATTCAGGGTCTCACAACCATAAAGCAGGACTGAACGAACGATAGCACAATATACACGACCTTTCAACTTCAATGAAACGTCGCGGTCACGCCAAAGGTGTTTTAGTCCTGCGTATGCTGCTCGAGCCTTGGAAATGCGAGCGGTTATTTGCTTCGCTGCGTTACCGTCATTGGTCACGCAACTATCTAAGTAGGAAAAGTAATCCACCATA